ATCTGGTGAACTGGAAAGTGACCTGAGATGACATGAAGTGAATTGGAGCTATAGAAATAAACTGAATAGAATTGAAATTGTCTTTAAGCAACAGATGCGTTTCTCAAAATATAAGAGGACAGATTAAAAATGAGACAAAAAGCCTTTTCTGTTTCCAGCCAGTTTAACAGCCACATCCCCCTCGTCATCTTTTGTTTCAGCCCTGAAGCCCAGGAAGAGTCTCCATCTCAGGGCGGCGAATGGATGCAGGTCGGATGCGAAAGAGTCCTGGTTCCGTCCAATCAGGACATCGGCTGCAGGCTCAAGCTGCTCTGTACTCCCAAAGACGGACATCGCTGCGGTCAGACCAGAGAGCTGGTTTCTGTGGGAGCTGTGGAGGCGGGGCCAGGCGTGTGCACCTTCGACAACCGTCACGCGTACACCTTAAAGCTGGCAGAGTGGCCGGCGGTGAGGGTGGTGTCCTATAACATCCTGGCGGACGTCTACGCCCAGACAGATCTGTCCAAGACGGTCCTCTACCCATACTGCGCCCCCTATGCCCTGCAGCTGGACTACAGGCAGAACCTGATCAAAAAGGAGCTGGCTGGTTACAACGCCGACATCATCTGTCTGCAGGAGGTGGATAAAGGTAATCAGCCCCTATCAATCAGTCAGAACTAAAACACCCTCCGATTAAACTCCTTAAGTTATCAAAGGTTATCTGCTGCTCAGTCAGAGAAAGCTCTCTGTTTACTCCTGTGTTTTAAAAGCAGTTATTTTTAATTCAGTTTGCAGGGATACTGCAGCATCTGAGGAAAAAAAAAATACAGCTAAACTTTGCTTCATCTGCCCCGTCGTCGTTCATGTTTAAGATTTAGTTTCCCTCCTTCCTGCTCTGACAGGTTAGGTGGACAGAGGAGGTCCGGCTGCCTTGCAGCATCGATTTTACAGATTATTTCAATCCTTTCAGCAAATGCAAAACTTCTTTTTTTTTAATTGACAGCAATCATTTAACCCTTTATAGGGCACTCGGTGAAATACTTTGAAAATCCAAGTTTCAAGCTAATAGTGTCATTGGAATCCAGTTTGCAGGCTTTAGCAATGGAATGAGGCGGTACAATGGCCTCCGGATGGAAGTTTTTAAAGTAAAAATGAATGATACAAGAAATCTGCAGGTTTATAATCCCGTATATTTGCATGTTTTATTCAGCAAAGATCCTGCTACATGGTCACACATCTTATTTTGGCATAACATAACATAAAAAAACATAACATAAAAAAAACATAACATAAAAAAACATAACATAAAAACATAACATAAAAAAACATAAAAACATAACATAAAAACATAACATAAAAAAACAACATAAAAAAACATAAAAACATAACATAAAAACATAACATAAAAAA